AGCGGAACTACTGAGCTAAATCCCCAGCCCTCATATGAGACAATTATTAACTCTTGATTATTTATTTTGGTACCAGGGAATGAACTCCGGTCCTTGTGCTTTCAGGGCAAGCAGCGGAACTACTGAGCTAAATCCCCAGCCCTCATATGAGACAATTATTAACTCTTGAAGAACAGTGCACCAAAACAAGTACCCTAAACAGACAATAAAATTCATAGCCATAGGATGTTAGAATGAGAAGGACATTTAAGATCTTCCACACTACAGCCTCTCTAAAGGATACAGCAGTATCTACTTCTGTTCAACTTTGAATCTCCTGTGTCTAGCACAGACAAAATAGGGGGAAAGTCCTCAGTAAATACCTGTTGAATGAAAGAACAAGTAAACATTCTCATTTTATTGATATGAAAATTGAAGTCCAGGTACATACCAGCCCTGAGGAAGTCATGATAGGAAAGGAATCATGTTGCCGATGTAATTATCTATCTATATCTCTAGCCTATTCTATTTACCTGTTTGAAAGAACTATAAAATTATGACATTCCTGTCCCTTTGTATAAAATATTTCAATACATTAATGTTATGCTGTTACAATGTGCTGAGAACATTTGTAAGCATACTTGTATCACTTCAAATCATTCTCATGATTACCTTAATCACTTTATTTTACAACTGGGGAAAACTGAGGCACAAGGAGATTAAGTCACACTAAGAATAAATGGCAGCAAATTCCAACCTAGGACAGAGGCATTCAGGAAGTTTCTATTGTTGATTACTTCTCTCCTCCTACCTTAGCTCAAGAAAGCATAATAGACTCAGACTGGAAACTAAGAGAGGGAGTTCACAACTATGTAGCTTACAAAATCTAAAAATTTGTCTCATTAAAAGCAGCTCAAATGGAGGGAAAAATCCTGATTAATCTTTCATAATATGAAATCTAATCTTGGCACTTTCTGGCAGTAATTATATAATTTGTAAATGCTAGAGATGACTTAACATGTAATTTTCAGTATTTTGCACAAAACTTTGATCATCCTGGTGAGTGTCAAAGACAGGCAAACAGCTGAGGCCAGTTGGTCACTCCAATTACCACAATCCAATTAGGGTAAATAACCACATTCCTCATCTAAGGATCAACCTCCACCTGTGCAGTTGATGCTTAAGAGGGTGTAGAATCTAAAAGACTGAAATGAGATTTTCAGTGCCAGTTAGTATTGAACAAGGCAGTAGAAGT